TCTTTCATGACATTCTTGGAACCATGTACCATGTTATAAAATCTTTCATTACTTTTAAGTAATAATACTGAATGGATACATACAAAGATTCTGTAGGGAAAAAAAAAGACATCTTAATAGGAACTGTAGAATTAATAGTAAGATGTCTTCTTTTTTTCCTACAGAATCTTTGTATGTATCCATTCAGTATTATTACTTAAAAGTAATTATGTGATTGGAAATGGTGTGGGTGTTTTGCAGTTCTTGAAAGATTTTATACATGTTACATGTTTCATACATATTCAACTGTATACCTTAAAAATTACTTCTTTTGTTTAGTTCCCTATACTAGTAATTAAGAAAAATATTTCTTACTAATTCTAGAATGAAGATACTTTTTAAATTTTGGTTAATCCTCACGCAACGATATTTTTTTCCCCCATTGATTTTTAGAGAGAGTCGAGAGGAGGGAGAGAGGGAAGAAGGGAGGGAAGGAAAGGAGCAGAGAGAGAAAGAGAGAAACATCGATGTAAGAGAGACACATTGATTTGTTGCCTCAGCACTCCCCCAACCAAGGCCAGGGATCAAATGTGCAACCAAGATACGTGCCCTTGACCAGGAATTGAACCCAAGACTGTTCGGTGTGTGCACCAACACTGTAACCACTGAGACACACCAGCCAGGGCACGTTTTTTTAAAAAATTGTCTTAATATGTTAACGTATCCTCAGTTTAAAACTTATTTAAAATTTTTTTTTAAATAAACGAATTTTTCTCTTGTTTTTTCTTCCCCAAGTGGTCATATGCTTTGGAAAAGCCCAACACTGGCAGCATATTTAATATTGCATGGTCAGTTGATGGCACTCAGATTGCTGGAGCCTGCGGAAATGGACATGTTGTTTTCGCACACGTGGTGGAGCAACGCTGGGAGTGGAAAAATTTTCAAGTAACATTAACCAAAAGAAGGACTATGCAGGTATGATTATGGTCTATGGTTGATTAAACCTGCTTCTTTTCATATTATTCCACTATACAGATGATGGGATTATCTTCGTTAATAGTATTTAAATTAAGTTTATAAAAATTCAGTCACATTAGATATATTTTAACTATACTATTAGTGATCCTTTTCATGACATAAGGTAAGAACCTTTCACTGAAATAGAGGCTGAGTGCCCATAGTTATTGAGGTTCTGGGGTTGAGGCAGGGATAGTGAAACTTGAATCATTTAGAGAAAGTGTGGATACAGCTGAGGAAGGGGGAGACAGCTATGACAGGTTAGATTAATTCCTGGACCTGACCCGAAGGCAGGCCTAACCTTCTCATCAGAGTCCGGATTGCATTATTTTATTTATTTAGAGTTGTTTGAGTTTATTTAACCTCATTAATATTTTTCCTATTAAGAATTACCTAAGGCAAGCCAAATTGGGAAAATAATAGGAAGTTCTTATTGGTAATTAGGAAGAAAAGAGTTAATTCTGAAATACTTTGTAGGTTAAGACAGAAAGGTTGGGAGGCAAAGGGAAATAATTTATAGGTAGAGAACGTCAGAGAGAGGAGTTCTCTATTCAATTGTAAGCCTCTTACCCAGTACCATATTTCACTTGTCTTTATCTCCCCCATGGGGCCTAGCCCAGTGCCTTGTATATCCTATATAATAAAGAGGTAATATGCAAATTAGCCCTCATGCCCTCACAAGATGGCTGCCTACGACCAGGCCAGCAGGGGGGATTAGTGAGGGATGACCAAACGACTGAACAGCAGGTTGCGTGGGGCAACCAGGCCGGCAAAGGAGGGCAGTTGGGGGCGACCAGGCCGGCAGGGGAGCAGTAAGAGGCGACCAGGCAGGCCGGGAGGGGGGGAAGTTAGGGGTGACCAGGCTGTCGGGGGGGTGCAGTTGGGGGCCACCAGGCCTGTGGGGGGGTGCAGTTGGGGGCAACCAGGGCCAGCAGGGGGGGCAGTGAGGGGCGAGTAGCCCAGTGGGGGGACAGTTGGGGGTGACCAGACTGGCAGGGGGGGGCAGTTAGGGGCGATCAGACTGGCAGGGGGCAGTTAGGGGCGATCAGACCGGTGGGGGGGGCAGTTAGGGGCTACCAGGCAGGCAGGCAGGTGAGCGATTAGAAACCAGCAGTCCAGGATTGTGAGAGGGATGTCCAACTGTTGGTTTAGGCCCGATTCCCGGGATCAGGCCTAAACTGGCAGTTGGACATCCCCCAAAGGGTCCCGGATTGGAGAGGGTGCAGGCTGGGCTGAGGGGACCCCTCCCCCCCGCCCCTGTGCATGAATTTCGTGCACCGGGCCTCTAGTATATAATAAGCACTCCACAAATAATGTTAAAGTTAATTGACAAAAGGGAGGAGGAGCCCTAGCGGGTTG